TGGGGGGGGGGGGGGGGTGCATCTGCATAGAACAGAATAAAAGCTGGAAAAATTACTGAAAATTTTTTGTGTGAACCATCCTTTTAAAGGGCTGAATGATTCAAGACAAATTTGGGTGGTCACATAGATTTAATAAGCCTTTGCGATTTGAAAATAGCACTAAGCCATATCATAATACCAATTTTAGTTTGATATATCATGCTGCAATAGTTATGCGTGTCATTTATGTTTGTCCATGAACTGGTGATGTCTTGTCTCGTCAATGTTTATAATGTCAAGGCTGTCCAACCATTTGAGATGTTTGATCTCCTCCATAGTGCTTTAAAACAGAATATCCTGTGTAGCATTGAAATAGGTCAGATACATGTTGTGTTGTGTGATCTGATATCAAGGCAATCCTGATTGTGCAAATGATGTGCTCTGCAGTATCCTATATCTGGAGCACAGTGGTGTGAGCTGCGGTAGTTTGCAAAGCCAGGTTTAATACACACTGATGGGATGAATATTTAGTCAGAGGTAGGTGAATTAGGGGGACCTTCTTGTTCTAGAAAGCATTTCTCCTGAGCATGTTGAGTTTCCGGGTCTGTATAATATTTTTTTTTTTTTTTTTTTTTTATTTTATTTTTTTAAAAAAAAAACAAGCCGCAAATGAATAGAGTGCAAGTCTAAAAGGGACAAGTGTTTTTTTTTTTTAAGAATATAAGAATAGAGAGTGCTAGAGGGTAAAATAAAGATTAATTAATTACAATTTTTATAGAATAATACCATATAATTGTGTTTCTTCCTTCAGTGCAACTAAGATTTTTGTGAATGGTTGCTGGGTGGGTATTCATAAAGATCCAGAGCAACTGATGAACACACTGCGGAAACTGAGGAGACAGATGGACATCATTTATGAAAATAAAACTTTGCGTTGAAGAAAAGTAGATTTTTGTTTGTATATGCTGTCAATTATAGTTCTTAGAAAAAAATCGGAATCGGCAAAAAATCGGTATCGGCAGATCACACTAAAGAAAAAATCGGAAATCGGAATCGGCCAAGAAACTTGCAATCGGTTCATCTCTAATTGTAATATTTTTTTTTTTTTTTTTTTGAATGCATCTTCTATAAGCTGATTTAGTCAATGTTTAGAATTACATTAGCCTACAGTTATGTTAACAGCAAATAAACATGATTTTGTTTTCATGATGTTTGTATTCTGTATGTGTAGTTTGGGCTCATCTTAAAGGATCTGAATGTCCTGAAGTCTTTTGTCAGCTCTAATGTGATAACAATCGAAAAAAAACTCCCTGTGCTTGGTTGAAAATGTCTTATCACTCTTCACACAGCCGAACTGAAGGGGAAGTTTTGGGCTACAGTCGTGTGCCTGTTTGAATGTCCTTATTTGTACAGAACGCTTATCAGAACAAGTTTAACGCATCTGGTAACTGAAATCACACTGAACAGGACATTTCTAGTGCCGCCCTGCCCTCTGTTTATGTACAACACTGCTTGTTCTTTATTCCTGTTCTTTGAACAAGCATTTATAGTGATTCTAGTGCTGTATCTGACAGCTTTACAGCTCTCTGTATAGTGTGTAGTGCTTGTATCTGGGTCATTCTCAGAGTTTTCTCTGCTGATGTGGTAAACAGTAAATTAAAAGTATTTATTAGAAACTTCACAACTTCTTTGCTTTAGTATCGTCTCAAAACACTGATCAGACTAAAGTCAGTGCATTATAACATTCTCTTTAGTTAACCCAAAAATTACATGATGAATTATGTCTTTTTTTATTTGAAATCATTTTCATAACAAACTCAAGGGACATGTCTGTAACAATATTTTGAGAATGACCCATATCCTGCATGTAAATGATCTAGAGCATGTGAATATAGTGTGGGTTAGTAGATCTATTTCTGTCATTGTCGTATTACACTAGTAACTCTTCTAGGTAACACTTCTGTGGCATTGTAAAAACAGTACAAATACTTTTGAATTTCTAAATCAGCAATCGTCCTTCAGAATACACTGATTAGATGATGTGTCTCGTCAGAACTGGTAAAGTCACTCTAGTGTAACGTCATAGAATAGAATAGAATTCTTTTGCAATTATGTAATTATTTTTTTTGTAATTAATCATTATTTTGCATGTTCAAATTAACATGCATAACAAGAATGCATTTTAAAATATTCAAAAAAGAATAGGGATGCACCGAAATGAAAATTCTTGGCCGAAGCTGAAGCCGAAACCGAACAAAATGAAATTCAGTATGATTTCCGAGTGACACTGGGCCGAAGGCCGAATACGGTTTTTCGTGTTGTTTTTTCGCCATTGCATAAATTAAATAGCCAAAATGTGCCTTTTACTGTTTTGTCTTGCTTTTCAAAGAAAAAAAAATCTAATACAAAACAACAATTTAAAAATATTTAACACTGAACATTTTTAACATTCTAGCAGACACTATACCAACAAAGCACAATTTAGCTTAAAATGAATAAGTTAGTAAAATAATATTTTTTGGCCATCAGACCCCCTTCTTGAATTAGGCATGTATTTTTTACTGTACGATTAAAAGCAGCCTTGCTGAGAAGAGACTTCTTTTAAAACATTAGAAAATATTACAGATCTTAATTTGAACACTATATGTGTGATTGTTATAATAAATGTATTAACAGAGCTATTTTAATTATTATTATCATTATTATGGTCTTTTTATTTTATTTTACAGAACAACAGTAAAATTACAATACTAACATTTATGAATGTTGATAGAGTGATAGACTTTTTCTCAACTTTTATCTTGGCGGAAACGCACAGGAAGACTTCAATGCTTCCGTTTTGTTGACAACAACAGATTTATAAATAAGTCTCATTACGAATACGTCGTACGTATCGCATTGTCACATGCCTTGTAAAAATTCATAAAAATGTGAGTACCTGACGAGTGCAGATTTTCCTCGTGCTTTGGACTTTGAACCCTGGTTAACAAGCAGATAGCACCGCGAGCTTGTGCTTGTGTGTCAGAATACATGCAGTGCGCGCTTGTATTAGAAAAAATAACGTTTTGCAGTTTACTTACTAATTGTTTAAAGCCATTTCGCGATTTCAATCATCGTACAGTAACCAGCAACAATCACCCCTTCCTCTTCTCATTGAAGAGATGTGATGCAGTACTAAACAGTCTCTCGCTGTCGGTGCTTGTAATGATTTTTGCATCTTTCTCTGACAGTTTAAATGCTTCCACACTGCTGACGTGTGTGCTGCATAATAAAGAGTGCGTGCCTCTCACTCTTCGCTGGTTGCCATTTGATCGCGTCATATCATTGTTCGGTATAATTTATTCGGTCTTTTCGCTTATTCGGAATAATTTCGGTTGCCGAACATTCGGTGCATCCTTAAAAAAGAAAAATGTTAAAAGTCAACGTGAAATAAAAAATTGCAACCAAATTTTCTTTTCTGTTGTGACGTAAGTGAAAGTGAGGTGAAATGGCTTCTCGGGTAAGAAGGAATATGATTTTGTCCTCTGGGAATTGATTAGGTCATAGAAAGAGGGCTTTGCAAACCAAATGTTTAGTGCAGACTCGCATTGTGTGAGATATATTATAAATGGAGCAGCTCTGGAAAAACTGTGGGCTTGAAATTGTAAAGTGTATATGATTTTTTTCCATGCTTTAACATTGCAAAATTAGAGTGGTAATTCATGTGACATTAGAATGTTTTGGAAATCATAAAATTCATATGAATCTGGGTGATATGGCAATAAAATGTCAGTTTTTTTTTTTGTTTTTTTTTCAAAACATTTGACCGATTCTCGATTTTTACGACTTTTAACTAGTCTACTTGAAAATGTAACTACAACATGATTCAAGTAACTTTTTCTTTCTAGGTAAGACAACTCTATTCCAAGTGCAGCACACATGAAGTTGTCAACATGATGTAAATGTTAAACAAATCACTTGTTTAATATCTTTGCAGAAAAGATGCATGAACTACAACTAAATCTTGTACAAACTTGTCTTATACACATTATATATTCAGAAATAATACGAGGACAATGCTTTAAAAATTCTCAAAAGTCAAGGTAATTCAAATTCAAAATGCCTGAATGTATAACACCAGTAGACTATTATTCACTATAAATGTTCTGTAAAAACAACATTTTCAAGTTAAAAGAAGTTCACCTCCCATCTCCTCGCATTTTTTCCTATTCCACTGCCGCTTCACATCTTTGTTAACACAAAAGCGCATTCTGTGTGAATGGCACCGATATTCTCTACTTATGGTCCTTCACAGAGTGGTTAATCACATGTGCCGACAAGCAGTTGGATCATTGTTTTCTCTTTACTGTTATCATTGGTATATTGTGTGTCTAATATTTCTATTCAAAATCGTGATTCTTCGATTTATAAAAAATAAAATCATGCAAAACATTAAATTCGAATTAATTGATAAAATAGGAAAAAATTCTCAGCCCTAATGAAACATGAAATCGTCTTTTGCACAGCAAGTATCTTAATAAAAGGATTACTGTTTTGAACAACTGTCTAGCAGAAATCACTATGCTCTTAATACTTATAACATGAATCATCTGGTTTAACCTAGGCTGGCTCGAGTGCAAGCTGCCATTAAAAGGGCCCATACTAAATACGAAGAAATTCTGAAATTCATTGTCCAATTCAACTTTTTAATCGAATGTTTACTGATAAAATGGATAATTTTAATAATTTGCAATACAAATTTGTTTAATTAGAAAAATACAAAAATGTCCTTGATTTATGCTACTATGTCTGATTAAGTTAAATAACTTATCTATTTGTGTGTGTGTGTGTGTGTGTGCAGGACATGTTGATGCATTTGGCGAAGGCTGTGGCTAATGCAGCTGCGGCTCTGGTGTTAAAGGCCAAGAATGTGGCTCAGAAAACAGAAGATTCAGCTCAACAGAACCGAGTGATTGCTGCTGCCACCCAGTGCGCCCTCTCCACGTCACAGCTGGTGGCCTGCACACGAGTGAGCGTTCACACCTGGCTCATCCACAGACGGACTCGCTGACCTCAGCTGATGCTCCTGTGTGTGTTTTATCTGTTTCAGGTGGTGGCTCCCACCATCAGCTCACCCGTGTGTCAGGAGCAGCTCATCGAGGCGGGGAAGCTGGTGGCTAAGTCTGTGGAGGGCTGTGTGGAGGCGTCACAGGGGGCGACTAATGATGAGCAGCTGCTCAGACAGGTGGGCGTGGCTGCCACAGGTGTCACTCAGGCTCTTAATGAGCTGCTGCAGCATATCAGACAGTACGCCAGCGGAGGACAGCCAATCGGACGGCACGGAGAGGCCACTGACCGCATCCTGGACGTGACGGATAACATCTTCAGCTCCATGGGAGACGCAGGTACTAGGAGCATGTTTAAGCCTTTTCTTTACTACATTTGAAGTGGCAGTGTATTGTAAGATATGGATAGATTATATGTTGTTGGTAAAAAAAAAATAAAAAAATCCATTCCAAAAATTTCCAGTTGATATGCATACACAGTTACATACATATACACATACAGTCATATATATACACTCTTAGACTATTTACCATACAAAAAATAAATTCTTCAAAAAATAAGAGGATTCCACATTTAACTAAATTAAAATAAAGATAACGAGACTGATAAATAAAATTCACTTCAAAAGTAGAAGCACATTGATTACTTAAGCATTATGCATTTCAACTTATGAATAAACATAATTAATTATACAACAATATAACTTTTAATAATAGTTATATAATTAATAAATAATTTTAATACAATTATTTAAACTATTAAATAGGGATGCAGGATATTATCGGAAAGCCCAACCGGTAAGGTGTTTTATTTATTTAGGGGGCGCTGTTGGTCTACTTGCAATAAAATGAAAGTAAAATACCCAAATAACATTAAGGTTGTGTTTCTGATTGAACAAAGCAATAATCTATGTCATAAAATCACGAGTATGTTTTGATTTTAAGGTCAGAAGCTATAGCTTACATGAATTAAAATCACAAACATGACACTTGTAAATTAAATAATTATATATATACAAATGTATTCATTAAAGGGGTCATATGATGCTATTTTAAAGATCATTAGTGTAATTGGGTCAATACCAGAATACCGATAAGCTTCAGGACAAACGATACTGTTATCGATACTTCCGTTGTTTTATCTCCGTATACTTCAATGTTAACAACAAATTAGAAGCTGCTGCTTGTCATTTCCCTTCACTGAATGATGTGGCCGACGTTTGCTCGACGTGCTTGTGATATCATGTGCATGTGCGGTGTGTGTTTGCATGCAATCGGTCATGGTGGCAAGAGTGAAACGTTTGAAAGTGTGGGCTCACGTTACAAAACTAGGCGACACCAGTGTCAGATTCAATT